CCTTTGTAATCAGCTTAGTTCTGTTCAGCTTAAATAACTAATTGTCATTAAGGATATCGTTATGGTGTATTCTGGCTTGAAGGACGAATGGTGCAAATTGTGTGTTCTATAAAAAAAATGAGTGTGCCAAAGGGGTCCATTCTTAGTCCATTCTTGTTTCTTTTCTACATAAATGATTTACTATAGTACCTCACTGACGTTGTAGGTATTATATTATTATGCAGTGATACTTTGCTGGCATTCGACTATATTTTTAAAGAGCCAGCAACCTCACCTACAATTCCCCTGGGGTTGCGGTTGTTCATGGGCGGTGGTTGACACTTACCATCAGATAAGCCACATGCTCGTTTGCTATTAAAAATAGATTGTCGTCGGTGAAGTGAATAGTGCTCTGGATAAGGTTTTAAATTGGTTCCACTCGTATATTTTAGCACTAATTAATAAAATTTGTTTTGCCTGACGTAAAAAAGGATAAAACCGTAGAGTAATAACATAATATGTATCGATATAATCTATAATTTTAGATGTAGGGAGGGGATATAATTAGCACGCTTTTTCTAATTTAATGCTATAAAATCTATCAGTGTTAAATTTTAGATTGAAACACGCAGGCGACTGAAAACGCACATTTTTCTAATTTTTTGACAAGTTATGGTCCCTGTAGTGTTTGCATATATATATAAGTCACTGTCTCGAACGCACCGCGTCATTGAGATTCCGCCTGTGGCACCGCTCTCGAGCGGTTGTATACAGGTAGTCCGCGTGCACTAACGTCCCTACGTTAGTGCTCTCTCGCTCTCGCGCCTCCGCTGTCCTGCTCGCGCTACAGCGTCGACGCTTTGGTGAGTCCTTTACGCTAACTCCAGTTATTACCTCCCTGTCTCCGGACGGGGCGGTTTGACTGTTGGTCTTGCTTGTTATTGTTATTGTTATTTTATTGTTAATTCTTTGTTAACTAGTTCTAATTTTGTTTTCGTTATTTATTTGTATAACGTGTACGTGTACATACTGTTTCAAGGGAGTTACTTGCTCTTTTCAGAGCAAGGCCCTGCTCTTTTGAGAGCAGGGGCACTTACTCATGGGATTAAGAACGTCCCGTTCTTTTCAGAACGGTGATCCCGCCCTTACTGTTATTAGATTGCGTTTCTGTTCTTTTCAGAACAGTGTCCCACTAACTTTTTATATATTTACGTAGTCCCCAACGACAATGTCCTCGCAGAATTTGTTAGGTCCCCTGATCGATTTAGTCCATAGGTTACATAATGACCCGCAAGCTCTTACAGCAGCCATCTCAGCCCTTCTGCCGCCATTGCCTCCTGCGCGGCATTGTATGTTAGGAAGCCCCATCAGGGCTTGTCCCAGCCGCCGCAGGGCTTCGCACGATCCCTTCAGGGTCCCGTTAGACCACCGCAGGCGCCCATTAGGCCACCTCCGGGCTTTTCAAAGCCTTCGCAGGCTCCAGTATTTCCCTGGGGCCCAAAAAAGGTTGACCCACCGCGGGCAACCTCCTCCGCTCCTCAAGCGGCGACAACACAACTGCCATCAATGGTCGATGACCTTAACACGGTTTACGCCGCGATAAGGAACATCGACATTAATGAAATTGCAGTGTTAGCAAGTAAATTGCGCGCTGCGAGGTCCCCTCAGGACCGCTTATTAGCTCTCGTAGAGCATAATAATCTATTGCGCTCATTGTAAGTTAAGTTAACTTAACTTAACTCACAATGACAGAACCATCTGTTATGCCTATAAGTCACGGACGTATAAAGCCTAAAGGGTTATCGCTTATCTCTCTTAACATTCGCGGATTACGTAATAACCTTCCAGAGCTTAAGCTCTTCCTCAGAGATCGCGCAGCCGATTTTCTCCTCTTACAGGAAACCAACCTCAAATATAAGGACTCTAAAGGCCTTTCTATTAATAATTACTCTCTTCTTCGTAATGACAGGGACGACCGCCGAGGCGGCGGAACGGCCATTTATTACAAGAGGACTTTACATTGCTCTCATATTGATACGCCACAGCTTACCAATATGGAAGCTACGATATGCAGGTTAGCTATGACGGGACATCAGTCTTTAGTCTTAGCCTCCTGTTACATTCCTCCTGGAAATGACCCCCTCAAAAAAGATTTCGAGTCTATTTTATCGCTAGGCAATTCAGTCATTATGTTTGGAGATTTTAACTCTAAACATAATGAATGGAAATGCCGTGCAACAAACCGTAGTGGTAAGAAACTGCTTGAAATAACGCAGTCTCTTGACATTACAGTCCACAGTCCACTCGGTGCCACTCACTATCCCGATGCCACCGATTATGCCCCCGATATACTAGATTTTGCGTTACTCAAAGGAGTTTCACTTAACCTCAGGTCAATCGAGACACTAGACGATATAGGATCCGATCACCGACCGGTCTCCCTTATTCTTGGCCATCAGCCACCCCCCATAACAACAACGAAAACGTTTACTAACTGGAAAGGTTTCAAGGATTCTCTAGCGAAAGCTATAGACTCTCAGGACTCCCCCACCTACCTAGCGTCGGACTTAGACTGTCCTGAAAAAATCGACACCGCGGTCGATTCACTATCAACACTAATTAAATCCTCCCTTAAGGAGAATGAAAGGATCGTTTCGGTTGCTAATAATAGTGGGCTTCCCCTAGATATTAGCAACCTATTAAAAGCTAAAAAAGCTGCTTTCCGGAGAGCAGCAAAATATCCCACCCCAGAATATAGGCACACGGCGAATCGTCTTCAACGAAAACTCCGTTTCCAACTCTCCGAATTTCGAGACCTCCAAAGGAGTGAACTCATGGAGAATATATCTCCCTCACATACAGCGTACTATAGGATGGCTAGAGCCCTCCGTATAGACGCTACAACTCACACTCCCCCTCTTTCTCGCCCCGACGGTACGGTTGCCTTCGAGGACGACGAAAAGGCTGAGTGCTTCGCAGATAGCATTGCCGAACAATGCTCTCCTAGCTCTCAACTTGTCGACCCCTCACATATTCAGGAAGTGGAGGATGAGGTCCGCCGTCGGAACTCACCCTCTACAACCTCTGACCCCATTACTGTGTCCAATGATGAGATCTCGTCCCTCATCAAAGGACTTAAGCCCAAAAAAGCTCCGGGCGCGGATGGCATCTCCAACCAAGCCCTTAAACACTTTCCAGAGCAGGTGTTAACCCTCTTAGCTATTATTTTCAACGCCTGCTTCAATCTTAGCTATTTTCCAACTACATGGAAAGAGGCAACTGTCATTGGCATTCCCAAGCCAGGCAAGCCTCTTAACCTCCCCTCCAGTCATCGTCCCATTAGCCTCCTCAAGGCCATGGGCAAGCTCTTTGAAAGAGTCATTCAAAATCGAATGAGGCGCTATCTGTTTCCCACAGACGGTGACCCTATTGTCATCCCCCACCAATTTGGTTTCCGAGCGAAACACTCCTGCCCCCAACAAGTTCACCGCATTGTGGAATACATCCTCAGCGGTTTTTATCCTCGTCGACATAAAACCATCGCGGTCTTTTTCGACATCGCAAAAGCCTTCGACCGAGTTTGGCACGAAGGCCTTATATTTAAACTATATAGAGTAGGTCTCTCCGATCGTCTAGTACGTCTCGTGGCCTCTTACTTACAACATCGTACCTTTCGTTTTAGATACGAAGGCACTCTCTCCTCACAGAGACCCATCAAAGCTGGTGTTCCTCAGGGATCAGTACTTGCTCCCCTCCTCTACATCTTGTACACCAACGATATTCCAATCCCATCAAATGGTGTACAGCTCTCCCTATTTGCAGATGACACTGCCCTTTACTTTAAAGGTCAAAATGGCGCATCGATGTGAACCCGGATAAGAGCTCCGCAGTTCAATTCGATTGGAAAAAACGCCGAGTCAAAATCAATAAAAATATCCCACCGATACGTATGTTAGAAACCACAGTTCCCTGGCATACGTCTGCTAAATATTTAGGTGTCACCCTTGACACAAGGCTTACTTTCGAGCCTCATATCAAAAGAGTCACCCGTCTAGCACGGTTTTATCTAGGTAGGCTTAACAGTATGTTAGGTCGACATAGTAAAATGTCTCTAAGAAATAAGCGAACCCTCTATAAGGTTTGTATACGACCGGTAATGTCTTACGCGGCCCCTATTTTTGCACACGCAAACTCTAAAACCTTAAACGAACTTCAAATAGTACAAAACCTCTTCTGTCGTCGAGCTACGAACGCACCTTGGTACGTCCGTAATGCCGACCTGCACAGGGATTTAGAAATCCCAACAATACAACAATTTATCAAAAAACTCTCTGAAAACTTTTTCAAAGTCTCAGAGTCACATAGTAACACATTAATTCGTGAGGCAGCTACTTATGCAGTCCCACTCCCCTCCCGCTATCGTGTCCGCAGGCCGAGAAACTCTCTCTCGGATCTGCCAAATAAACTTTCAAACGACTTGAACCGCCTCCTGGCGGCTCAGTCAAATTCATAATTAATTAAATTGTATTCATAATTAAAATGCCTTCGTAGGCACTCCCTCAGCGGCTTATAGCCGCCTGCGCCCTCTTTTTCCCAAAAGAGGGTCGCTTTACGACACGGCATATGCAGCTTTAAACGGCTAGTTGTCAGTCCCCAAAGGCGGTTTTTAGGGGGTATCACATAGGCTCCCCGGTTAGGCGTGAGTCCCCCATAACCACGATGGATAGCCATCGTGGTATGCGTAATGCATTTTCCGCCTCCCGTAAGGGTAGCCCTTTTCCAAATTGCTTCGGGCGCAAAAAAAAAAAAACGCACCGCGTCAGTTACACGAGAGCCTCGGCCGAGAGTGAACGTGTTTAGTTAAGTGCGTGCCGAGCCTGTGTTACACTACAGTGATTAGAGAAGATAGCAGACATAGAGGTTGCAAATATTCGATAGTTTTGATTTTCGAATATTCGAATATTTTTTCAGTGCTGTTCGAATATTATTCGAATATTCGAATATATTAAAAAATACACTTCAAATATCAGCTTTTATTGCTTTAGGAACAGAACAATAATCATTAAACAAAAAAACAATAAATATTGCAAATAATCTAACATACCAACACGAATAGAATCATCATTTATCTTTAAACAATATAAACTCGGTGTTTAGTAAAATAAAAAGTATTATCAAATATCAAATTCTTAAACATAGTAGGAACCTTATGTTCTTATAAATCTCACGATTATACATGAACATGTTAATCAAAACAATTATAAAATTCTCAAGCAATTCAAAAAGTCTTAAACTCGTTAATAATAAAAATAAAAAGTATCACAAATGTAAAGGTGTCGTAAAGGCATTGCAGTATCATTTTCATATGCAATATTACACTAATAAATCAGATTCATCAATAATAACTAAGAATTAAGTCAGATTTACCTATTATAATATAAAATCAACACAGCCATAATAATTATTGTTTTTTACGTATTCTTTGAAAGTGAGACCTGAGGAAACTTAATGCGTCTAAGGAATCATCGCTTAATTTACATCTGAGATGATTGCAGATATACTTCGTAGAAGAAAATACCCTTTCGCACTCTACACTAGTTGGTGGAATGCACATTAACACGTCATAAGCCTGAGTTAGGTGTATTTGTCTTGGCGCTCCTGCATCATATAAAGCCATCTGCATTTTTATTGATGATTCTAGATCATCTTCGCAAGTTGCTGTGGACGTAGAAGGCCTTGCACACATTTCATCATCTATTTTTTTCTGCAGCTGTTCTTTTATTGACATATTTGTGATTCTAGACGCTTCTTCATTTTGACAATGCTGTAGATCTGCTAGAAACATGTCATCTTCGTCATCAGAAGCGCCAGTATAAGTTATTGTTGAAGGTCTTTGATTAAAGTATTTTTTTTGTATGTCAACTATGACTTTGGTGATAACATCATTTCCTACTTTAGGGAAGACAGTAGAAGATTGTTCCTGGTAGTATTTGTTAGGATTGTGTAAATACTTCAGTGTACATACCAGATCTGCTTGTCGGCGTTGAGCGATTCTTAATGTTAAAGCCTGAAGGAGTCTACTACTGATAACCCCATTGTTCTCTTGTAGTTTAGTGACCATGAATTGCAGGGCTGTATCCGCAGTTAATAAATTCGCCTTTTCTTGGCAAATAGCTTCTACAGTACTTTTTACGATAGTGAGAGTCGTAGATAAATCCTGCAAAAGATCAAGCTCGTAGGTACTGAACATAGTTTTTTCTTTCAAGTCAATCAGTGCCTTTAATATTGCATCCTTTAAAAGCAAAAATTTTGAAACCATGTCCGCCATGCTGCTCCACCGCGTTTTGCAATCTAAAACCAGGCCCGCTCTTTTGTTATCTTCAAGGACATGTTTATTTAAAACTTCTGTCCTAGTTGGAGACTTCTTGAAAAATTTCACTACCTTTCGTACTTTAACAATCAAATCCTTATAATCGACATTAAGCCTGGATTCACTTCTGGTTTCTGTATTACTAACTACAAAACCTTGTCCATCGTCATTTTCATCTGTTTCATCATCTTCTGATTCTTCTGCCTCTGAATCTACTAATGTAGATAATGTCTCCTCTGTGTCTATTTCTTCTGAATTTTCGACAGTTTCTACACTCTGACTATATAAGTTCTTATATATGACATCCACCACTGCACACTGAATTCCATGTGCGAGGCATAATTGGTGAAATGAAGGTATTTGACGACCCATGGCAGTCATAACGCTAGCACCGTCTGTCACTACACCTACTACGTCATCTTCTAAAAATAGATCGTAGGACCCTAATTTAACCCGCAAAATATGATTACATCTTTCCGATGTTCCTCTACCTGTAATTCTTGCCAACCCCAAGTTTCTGAAAGGCTTGTCATTGTCATTGAAATTAGGGCAGTGAATGTTAATATTCACATAACGCCGGTTGCTAGCTGATGTCCACTCATCAAGAGAGACGGAAAATTTCTGTCCTTTTGCTTTTAAAACCGACAATTCTTTTCTCAGTTCTTGTTTTAACTGGTCACTTTTTTCTATAACAATCTTCTTAATTGTGTTCGGAGATTTTGGCAAAGCTTCGTATCCGCTTTTTAAAAAAAGCATACGTATAGATTCTGATTTGCAAAAAACTTTGAATGGTTTACCATCACACGCAGTCATTTTGGAAATCACAGTTTCCATATTATCTTCTTTGGTGTTCTGATAGTAATCGTCAATTCTGACTTTTTTTGTCTTGGGCATGGGCCGCTGATCTTGTTCTTGTACTACCTCATTTGTGGGAGTGGTAGGCGTAGCAGTCGCTGGAATCTGTCGAATATTTCTTCTTGTATCTAGTAGACCGAACAATAAAAAAAATCTTATGAGTAAAAGCGTTAATACCTTTTGGTCAAAAGTAATAAATGTAAGTGAAAGTGAAGTAGTTAATAAAGGTAAAAGCCGTAAAAGTAAGTTAAATGAGTGACTAACCAGGTACACTTGGATGTTGTTTCTTCAAGTGATTGTGTAAGCATGTGGTGGTATTTGAGCATTGAAGAATTCTTTTGCATAATTTGCATTTTGCGTGACTTCCATCCTCAGTCCGTAAGAAAGAGTTCCATACTGAAGATTTGTCAAACTTACGTTTTGTGTACTCTTTAAAAACCAATTTATCCATCGTCAACTGATCTGCAATGTAATTGAATTTGATACTTGTAAATACATATAACGTAGGTATAACCAGACGACAACTATTCAGTGATGTCTCCGTGATCGCGAGGGTGAAAACTGGTAGCGATCACCGAATGGTTAGAGGCACACTGAACCTAAACGTTAAGTTGGAGAGGTCTCGTCTAATGAAGTCAACGCTCCGTCCCCCTCGTGCTCTGTTTCAAAGTCCCGAAACCTTTCAGCTCGAGTTACAAAACCGTTTTCAGTGCCTGGAAGACTGCAATGAAGTGGACGATATGAATGACAAGCTCGTGGAAACTGTCCATGCGGTCGGAGCTAAGTTCTGCAAGACCCGCCGCAGAAGAACACAAAAACTCTCCGATCACACTCTTAATCTCATGGCTGTTAGACGGGAAATGAAGCTACATTCTTCAACAGACTTGACAGCATACAGGCATCTGAACAGACAGATCTCCAAATGCATGCGGCGGGACTTACGCAACTTCAATACAGCTCGTATTGAAGAAGCGATCGAGCGGAACCAAGGCTCCAAAATCTTTGCCAGAGATCTGTCTGCCAGAAAGAGCCAACTGTCAAAGCTGAAGACAGAGTGTGGCAGCATCGTTTCCGGGACACCTGAGATTTTGAGTGAGATTGAGAGGTTCTATGGGCAGCTGTACACATCATCGTTAGAGCCACACGCAAGTGTGAGTAACGATCCAAGAGCGAGTCTCATCCGACACTATTCCGAAGATATCCCGGATGTCAGTCTGAGCGAGATTAGGATGGCTCTCCAGCACCTTAAAAACGGTAAGGCCCCAGGCGAGGATGGAATTACAGCGGAGCTTCTGAAAGCGGGTGGAAGACCGGTACTTGGAGTCCTTCAGAAGCTCTTTAATTCCGTCCTCCATGGTGGCATTACACCGGAGGCGTGGAGCAGAAGTGCGGTGGTCTTGTTCTTCAAGAAAGGTGACAACGCTCTCTTGAAGAACTACAGACCGATTTCCCTTCTGAGCCGCGTCTACGTGCTGTTTTCGAGAGTCATTACGAATCGTCTCGCGCGCAGACTTGACGACTTCCAGCCTCCCGAACAAGCCGGTTTCCGAAAGGGCTTTAGCACCATAGACCACATACATACCCTTCGGCAAGTTGTACAGAAGTCCGAAGAGTACAATTTGCCACTATGTCTGGCGTATGTGGACTATGAGAAAGCCTTTGATTCCGTCGAAATTTGGGCGGTGCTGCAGTCCCTTCAGCGGTGCCAAGTTGACTGTCGGTATATCGAAGTGTTGAAGTGCTTGTACAGTAGGGCTACGATGGCTATCCGAGTACAGAACCAGAGTACGAAACCTATCCAATTGCAGAGAGGTGTAAGACAGGGTGACGTCATATCCCCGAAACTCTTCACCGCTGCATTGGAAGACGTTTTCAAGCTTCTGGACTGGAAAGGATACGGTATCAACATCAATGGCGAGTACATCACTCACCTTCGATTTGCCGACGATATAGTCCTTATGGCAGAATCGCTGGAGGACCTAAGCACTATGCTCAATGACCTCAATAGTGTTTCCCAACGGATAGGTCTTAAGATGAACATGGACAAAACAAAGATCATGTTTAATGTCCATGTCACACCTATGCCGGTAGTTGTTGGGAACACTAAGCTCGAAGTTGTTGACGAGTATGTTTACCTGGGACAAATAGTCCGACTGGGTAAGTCCAACTTCGACCGAGAGGTCAATCGACGGATTCAACTCGGCTGGGCAGCGTTCGGGAAGCTACGACACATCTTCTCGTCAGACATACCTCAAAACCTTAAAACGAAATTGTACAACCAGTGCGTGTTGCCAGTGATGACTTACGGAACTGAGACGTGGTCCTTCACTGCTGGCCGTATGAGGAAGCTCAAGGTCGCTCAGCGAGCTATGGAGAGGGCTATGCTCGGAGTTTCTCTGCGTGATAAACTTAGGAATGAGGATATCCGCAGTAAAACCGGAGTGACCGACATAGCCCAACGGATAAGTAAGCTGAAGTGGCAGTGGGCCGGCCATATAGCTCGAAGAACCGACAACCGATGGGGAAGAAAGGTTCTCGAGTGGCAGCCTCGTACCGGTAGGCGAAGTGTAGGGCGTCCCCCCACGAGATGGAGTGACGACCTGGTAAGACATGCAGGAAGTCGATGGATGCAGGTGGCTCAGGACCGTGTTTTGTGGCATTCTTTGGGGGAGGCCTATGTTCAGCAGTGGACTTGTGAAGGGCTGTAATGATGTAATGATGATGATGATTTGGTGATCAGTGCAAAGTGAGTTTTTAGGTTAAGTCATAAATTCAACCACCGTGTCTGCAAAAAAATATCAAAATACACAATACTTACATAAAACAATCCACAAATACTTTTATATAAACACAAGAATCAAATCACTTCACAAAAGACAAAATGCACAGCTTTGCAAGTATATAACAACGCGTTCTGTAAGTGAATGAACTCAACAAAATGGCGTCAAGTCACTCAAGCCGTTAAGCAGTGTTGCCAACAACAATTTTTAAGTTCTGCCAACATAGACTTGAATAGTATATTTTTTTGGTAGTTATTCGAATATTCGAATATATATATTTTTTACTATTCGAATATAAATTTGAAAATAAAATTCGAATAATTCGAATAATTCGAATATTCGAATATTCGATTGCAACCTCTAAGCAGACAATACAAGTGGCGACGAGAAAAAAGGTAAATACCTGTTTAGTATAAAGATATCAACAAAAAGAGTTTAGCAATGTGCAACTATTAGCATTGCAATTGCAAATTGTAAACTAAATCCTAGAGTACCGCGGAAAAAAACTTTGGATTATGAATTATGATTTATTGTTCTTAACCCTGTTATGATCATTTTAATAATTTATATAAATTATATGTTCGCATATGACCACGCTTATGGTGTGCAAAATTTATTTTCTTTATGTAGCAATGATAAAATATTGATTTATTTTAACATATGTCTATTAGCACAACTTTTATTTAAAAAGATTTTTGATGGAAAAATAGTTGATGTAACTAATCACTCCTCTCGATTCGAACCGAAATACAATGTCGTTAGCTAAATTTTAGTGGCATTTTACATGTAGGTGTGATGATGTGGTGATCGCCTTTAATGAAAATACTATTTTACCGCTTTCACGGCATATATAAGTCTTACAAAAAATCGTGGACACTTCACGACTTCTGTAAATTGCGTAGTAGGTAACTAGTAATACTGTAAATGCGCATTATAGGTATTGAATTCACCCAAAGCCTAAATGGCACAGCAATGGAAGTAGTCGGTATAACAAATAAACCGAAAGAGAAGGGCGAGTGTTATGGAACATATTACTATCACGAAATTGAGTTTGGGTACCAAGATACCAACCATTAAATTGGTGTTGGGTACTAAGATACCATCATTAAATTGAGTTTGGGTATTAAGATACCATCATTAAATTGAGTTTGGGTACTAAGATACTACCATTAAATTGGAGTTTGGGTACTAAGATACCACCATTAAATTAGAGTTTGGGTACTAAGATACCACCATTAAATTGGAATTTGGGTACTAAGATACCACCATTAAATTGGAGTTTGGGTACTGAGATACCACCATTAAATTGGAGTTTGGGTACTAAGGTACTACCATTAAATTGGAATTTGGGTACTAAGGTAGGTACCACCATCAAATTGGACTTTGGGTACTAAGTTACTACCATTAAATTGGACTTTGGATACTAAGTTACTACCATTAAATTGGACTTAGGGTACTAAGTTACTACCATTAAATTGGACTTTGGGTATTAAATACCAGCATTAAATTGGAAATGAAAATATAAGAAACTGTTTCAGTTTGCCCCTAAAATAATAATAATGATGATGCCGTTATCAGCTTTAATGTGATAGCACATCTATGGCTATAAGGTGTGAAAAATGGAAAAGGTCTCTACTAATCTATCTGGATGCAGCTGAAGTTATATCAGCACTCAAGAAACGAGCTACGCTATTGCATTTTGGTGGCTCTGGGATACAAGAAATATTCTACAATTTACCGGGTGCCAATGTCGAATCATCAGAAACCGTTGATGTTTTTGATAAGATTGCGTCAACAGGCCGAAAAGTGTGCATTCGAAAAGCAAGATGATCATCTCATAGATAAAATTGCAGAAAAGTGTAATTCGAAATTGCGCAAGAACCTTATATCTTACAAAACGTGGGAAGAGTTAAAAAAGCAAAAAAGTATATGCTTTTAATCAAATGTAAAGACCAGACAAGACATTATTAGCATACGGTAGTAACTCTCCTTTGGTAATAGAGGGTTCATTTGAAACTATACTCGAAGTCGATGGACGAAAGGAACTTACAACCATTTACGTGATTTCGGGGGGGTACTAGAGACCTGTTGGGTAAGAACACAGCAGTCTGTCTGGGTGTCTTAAAATTTGGTATCGGGATAAATCAAGTGGAGACTACCGATCCTCATTAAAAAGAAGGTTGCAATCAAAATTAAGGAATCACTAATCAGTGATATAATTGAAGAAGTGCAAGGCCCGTCTAAATGGGTTTCACCAATGGTGCAATCATGAAAAAAAATGGTGAATTACGTTTGTGCGTAGATATGAGATGTACGAACGCGGCTATATTGCGAGAAAACCACCCTCTGCCTACTATGGACCATTGTTGCCTAAAATGAAGAAAGCTAAATATTTTAACAAATTAGACATAAAAAAATGGCTTCCATCAAGTGGAAATTCACTCTGAATTCAGACACATAACGACTTTTATAACCCCCAAAAGATTATATAGATATAAAAGAATAATGCTTGGAATTACCTGCGCTTCCGAGAATTTTCAGAAGATCATTGAAAGGATGCTGATAAACTGATAAACTCGTCAATTTTATTGATGATATCCTGGTATTCGGGAACAGTGAAGAAGAACATGACGCATGACTAAAGAAAGTTCTACAGGTACTTAGTAAAAACAACACCGTGTTGAATAGCAATAAATGCATATATAAAACGCAGGATGTGAATTTTCTGGGACACAGGCTTACACATGAACCCTTCAACAAGTACGTTGAGAGCATTATGAAATTTAGGGTCCCAAAGACCATAGAAGAACTCCAAAGTTTACATAAACAAATGGATACCTAACTTGGCCGCCATGACAGAACTTCTGAAGCACCTGCTAAGACAGAAGAGGAGCAAAAGGAAGAGCTTGGAAAAACAATGGTCTGGTAAACAAAATAAAGCATTCCAAAAACTCAAACGGATGCTCACGGAAATACAGATTTTAGGGTATTTTGACGTCAGAGATGCAAGACAGGTGATAGCAGATGCTAGCCCTGTCGGACTTGGTGCTGTCCTTGTACAAAATGATACAAATGGCCCTAGAATTATTGCCTATGGTAATCGAACTTTGACAGACTGCGAGCGCAGGTATAGCCAAACTGAAAAAGAGGCACTAGCATTAGTTTGGGGGGTCGAACATTTAATATTTTTTTTTTTTTGGAAAGCCTTTTGATTTAGTCACTGACCATAAGCCGCTAGAGATATTGTTCGGGTCTAAGTCAAAACCATGTGCGAGGATTGAACGATGGGTACTGAGGCTACAGTCTTATTCATTCAAGGTTGTATACAAGCCAGGAAAAACAAATATAGCTGATCCCTTGTCACGATTATGTAACTATCCTGATAACCCACCAAAAGGAAAAGACCAGCATGTGTAACAAATAGTGGAAAATTCTAGACCAGTTGCTATACCAATGAGTACCATTGTAGCATATTCAGAAAAAGACCAAGTGATTTACAAAGTGAAAAAAGGTGTCTATCAGAACGACTGGGACGATTCGATTAAGAGTTACAAATTTTTTGAATACGAGTTGTTTCCATGATAGCATTCTACTTCGTGGAAATAAAATTATAATACCACAGCAACTCTGCAAGAGTGTATTAGATGCTGCATACGAGGATCATCCAGGTATCGTAGCGATGAAGGGACGCTTGAGATCAAAGGTATGGTGGCCCCGTATCGATAAAGACATAGAACAATTAGTAAAGGCCTGTAAAGGTTGTACGTTAGTGGGTTTGCCAAACCCACCTGCACCAATGAAGAGACGAGAGTTGCCTGCAGCTCCATGGATAGATGTCACAATGGATCTAATGGGACCATTGCCAAGTAACGAGTATCTGTTAGTAGTGGTCGACTACTATAGTTGATACAAAGAAGTAGAAATTACAAAAACATCACAAGCTTACAGTTTATTAAAATGGTAAAAGAAATGTTCAGTAGACTTGGTTATCCTATTTCTATCACCGCAGACAATGGCAAGCAGTTCGTTAGTGAAGAGTTTCGATCTTTCTTCAAATTATGTAACATTAAGTTATTTAGTACTGTGTCATATTGGCCTCAAATGATCGGCGAAGTTGAAAGACAAAACAGAGATATTTTGAAACGTCTTCGTATCAGCGAGATTGAGAGGAAGGGTTTAAAAGAATGTTTGTGGGAGTATCTTCTAATGTATAACAGCACCCCTCCTTACAGTTACCGGGAGGTTACCGTCTGAACTGTTTTTTTCAACGAAAAAGTAGGGATAAAATTCCATCAATAGGTGAAATAAATTACAGATAATCATTTAGATTCAGATATCAGGGATAGAGACAAAATACAAAAAGAAAAAAGAAAAGAGTATGTAGATAGGAAACGCAGAGCAACTCACTCAGATATAATACAGGGAGATAAGGATAAGGACAAAAGCAGTGGAAAAATCGAATAATCTTACAACAAATTTAAACCGACGCCACGCGTCGTAGAGAGTGCACGAGACGGTGACTGCACAGTACGCAATAGTGAAACGAACCAAAGGTTTAGGAGAAATGTGATACATTTGAAGAAAGTAGGAGGCGATTGGACGGCTATTCCACCCAATCAGAATGAAAAAGAATAAAATCTAGAACAGGATAAAGAAGACGAAAATATGCTATAATTAATACAGACAATACAAGCTGCTTTGTGATTGTTATGAGTTATAATAAAAAAAAAGAATAAATCTTGATAAGAAAGAGATGTAGTGTTTGCATATATATATATATATATATATATATATATATATATATATATATATATATATATATAAATATATATGTCACGCGTCTATATATATATATATATATATGTCGAGCGCACCGCGTCAGTTACACGAGAGCCTCGGGCGAGAGTGGACGTGTTTAGTTAAGTGCGTGCCGAGCCTGTGTTACACTACAGTGATTAGAGAAGATAGCAGACAATACAGTCCCGATAAAGTTAAGCATTATTTTACATTAAATATCTCTATTTAATATCTTTAGGCTTTGTCATTTGCATGAATATAACTACATAGTATTGTAGTTATTCCAAATTTTACATACGTACAAAAACTTTAAAAATGTTTACTTGTGTTATAATTGCATGCAATATAGTATACCTATTTAA